CGGCATTGATCCACATCTTTTTAATGGTAAGCGTCCGATTCAGGTTGTAAGTTGTTCGAATGAGTCGATGTTTATGGACATACTCGTGTTGACGAAAATGCCGACACCACCGACTCCTTTACTGTCGCATGTTCCGAGGAACAGTTCTTCTCTGGTTCCATATACGGCGTTCGTTGAAAGGCTAGCGTCGTCTCGTCTCGGCTAGGCCGATGATGTCGTATCTTACCCTTCTTGCTTGCATGAGCAAGTTTTCTATTGAGAACTCGGATGCAAGCGTACGTGCATTGTAGGTACATATAGTCGCTTTAGTTCCTCGCGATCCAAGTAGCATCCATTGGCTTTGGGATTTTAGCAGCCTCTCCGTACTCGCCCTACTTAAGGCCACCAAATTGGGGGTTCTTTCGGGGTCGGGGGAATGAAGCCCGTTTCTTTTACTGTGTTTAGCATTCTGATACCCAAGTATAGCTTGCTGGGCTCTGAACGTGGGGCTGGGTATACTGACGGGTAGCTTGCCAGTCTCTCCCAGAGTGGACATAGAGCTTATTTGTTGGAGGCGACTCCTATCCGCCTCCCATATACATCGCTGTCAGTTGATTGTAGGCTTTTGGTCGAATTGACTGGTAGAATATAATTTGCACAAACTAGAACGCACCCACACATGCGTGCATGAATATACCTCGCAATCACAGAAACTATGGACCAAATCGGAGCAGCAGAAAAAGGGAGTCCATCCCCTGGATCCACCTACGTCTCAGGGAAGCGAAGGTCGCTTTTGGTCCGCTATTAACCCCTTGTCCGCCACCTGTGAACGTGCCACGTAGCCTTGCAACTAATCGGCTCGAGATCCCTCATGTGAGGGACCTCCGTCACTTTCATACAGAGGCTTAATCCGAATTTCGTTGGCACTTGTCCAGTCAAACAACAGTCTATATCCCAATCAACAATTATTTCTGGGATGTGGTACTGAAGCGTGCCCGACGGCTTCTTAAGTGTTCAAAATATGATCCTGGAAGAAAAAACCGGAGAAAGAAAGATGGGAATCTAATTGTGTTAAAGAGATGCTTACTTACTTACTTGAACGGCCCGTCATCATTAGTTGTGCGGACCCCAGCATAATCACCATTTTTCGGAGATTTGCTGGTTAAGCCATTGTGGTTCCCTGGAATGCCGAGGACAGCCTGGCCAAAGTCCGCCCCATGTCGTAATCACGACAGGCGGTCGCAGCCCTTGTGGATCGGAGGGAGATTTACTACCATGCGACTTTGATACCAAGACGGTGGTGGATCCTGGTATTGGTTTACTCTTAGATAGGCTTCCTGATGGAAACGCCGGACACCTTCTCAGCTTGGAAGACCCTGCCGGGGGGACGAATCCCCCGCTGTACATCGCAGTCCGACACCCAGGAACACCTTCCAGCCACGATGAGGCGGTAAACCGTTGGGAGGGTTGAAGAGATGAACAGTGACAAATAAGGTGTTGACTAATCTCTTAGGGATATGCTATGCCTTCGAGTTCATCAAGCACCACGGAGGTGGTTGTACGCATATCTGGCCTATATGAATGACACCAATTCGCTTAGTCCAGAACGGCGTAAGCCCAAGTGCGGGATCGAACCAGCGGTCGATCCAGTGTGCATCTCTCGCCATTGCGCTACTCCCGTCTTCTCTCATCACGATAGATATTTAAAGAAGTCTTGCATTGTGTTAATGAAGTTAAAATTTCCCTGTTTTATTTCGATTATTTCGAGTAATAAATCTCACTTTGACTGAGATATATTAGTTTGAGTTAAAAAGACTTAATTGTTTTCAGTAGCGTTGAAATAAATGCTTAAAGTCGTAATCAGTTCAGTTTTTTGCCAATTGCGCCACCTTTTCCTGGAGGCCTTACAGAAATATCGTCTCACTCGCATAACCTGCATAACTTCTTGTTCTTCGTACCGACCTATGATACTGAGAGGTTGACTACTTGTTCTATGGCATCCTCTCAAAGTATGCTTCAATAATACAGCACTGATTCTATACATAATTTTTCATGGGCTACCACAATTCAACCGCATACTGTTTCTTTGGTTCAAAGCTATAACTTGTCCTCTAACTCCGCTGCTAATTTATTGTACATCATATGTATTTTATGAAAGGCGCCTGTAGCGCAGTGGCCGGAAGCGTATTGCAATACACATGGGATCGATCCCTGCGCCCAAGACTCACTAAGCCTGCCATCCCTTCCGGGTCGGCAAATTGGTACCAGACTTGTCTAGGAGGGGAGGGCAGCAGTACTGGCTCAATACAATGGTAAGCTACTGCAAGTCATTGTAAAGGCCAGATATGCATTCAGCCACCTCCAATGATGGTTAATGAAGTCGAATGCACGGCGTACACCTCATGGATTCGTCAACGCCGACAGCTTTCTTTTATCCATAGGTAGTTTAGCATTTGTTGCAAACAGTGTAATCTGTTTCTCGTATCTTCTATTTCTGTACACGATCTTTTAAACAGTACTCTTACTAAAGATGGTAACTGACAAGGACAATTTTTCAGCGCCCTAAGTAAGAACCTTGTAAAAAATGTTACACTAGTTGTTTTTCTCACGTAGTATTACTAGGTGACATGTGGTGGAATGTAGAAATACCATTTGCAACTGAAATGGTTTTTGTCACCGAGTGATTCGAGGGACTGTCAACAATGTGTGTTCGCTCGAGAAAAAGAATGGAAAAGAGTATCATATTCCAAGTCAAGGCCTATTATAATGCTGAGACATTTGCAAAACTCCGAACCGCAGCTGTCTGCGGTGGGAACGAACGCGCTATTGTCCTTTCCGGGAAGTAACGCGTTCACCACCACACCATGCGGGTCCTTGGTTTCGCCTGTCCCTCAGCTAGTTCTATCGATCCTCTGCCATCAGCAATCACCCGTCAAGTTCAATGGGTTCAAAGCCGATTCGGGCTCCCAGATCAATCCCATTCCCTACAAATCTCCGAAAAATGGAGATTATGCTGGGTCCGCACAACTAGTGAGGACGGGCCATTCAAGTACCAAGTATTAAGTATTCATGACTGGATTCAATGTCAATTTATGTTTCCGAGATCACTGCCGATGATGGGTGATTGATGATAGTTATGAAGGAGTAGAAACATGGCTGAAAGAAAGGCAAAACAAGGCCCTCGGCGGTGCAGTGGGTAACGCGTGAGTCCCGACAAGGGTAACCACGAGTTCAAAGCCCAACTAAGGTTCCGGGTTTTGTTCATATCTTAGCATCCCTATGTTGTATTTCACATAACACCCTCTACGAAAAAGCAACAGGCCGTAAGTAAAGGCTAAAATATCACATGACTATTCCACATAGTAACAGATTAATAGCACGGAGTACCAATTTATTTTAATGGACTTACAAACATAATACAAACCTAGTAATTCGCTACAATCATATTTTGTTCCACGAAACTTTTTCCTTGTCGATTCGTAACTCATTCCAGTCGTAGAGATCTGAATCTACTTCGTTCAGTCCGTTACAAACTGATCGATCATTTACGCGAACCACGACAGGATCATCGTTGCACAACTCTGTATGACGAATGAATGCAACTACCTGGAAGTTGAAACTGTTACAAGGAGAGGGAAAATGGAATAAGATAAAAACAAATTAAGACTGCACAATAAGAATAGAAATGGAAGTGATCAAAAATGACCATGCAGACCATTCGAACATATTAGTTAACGTCCGAAATGATTATATTAAAAAAATTGTAAGATAAAAGAAACACATACTAAAGGCAGTGAGTGAGGGAGTATGGGACCACCATCGAGCTCAAGCACATATTCGGAAACTTTCCGACGAATTACTTGCGAAGTTTTCTGGAAAATTTGTTTGGTACTCCACTGCTGTTCGAACTTGGTACATTCCCATGACCGACTTTCTGTTAACCTCGGCATTAATTGATAATTCAATGTTTTTCATCAATAAGCAGACACGAGGTTGTTAATATAGAATTTATTAGAACACAATTGCTGACGTTTCGGCGGTTTCGCCTTCTTCAGAGCCTGGAAAGGTCAAATTGAGATGTGATCTACTCAGCCAAACACTTTCACAACCCTAGCAGATAAAGAGCAGATTTTCAAAAAAAAAAATTCAAAAATGAACCGCAAGGAGGAGTGTCTTGTCATCACGCGTGACCTGGCGCCATACCTCAGGCTGATCCAATGACCTGACATGGACACAGTTATCGACCATGTATTACTCTGTGCGGCGGCTATCCACCAACTAACTTAAATACTTACAACAAATAAACGGTAGGTGTTTGAATGAAGCTGTTTCTTATGCGAATGCAAATCGATTTGTCAAGTTTTATCTGCTAGGGTTGTGAAAGTGTTTGGCTGAGTAGATCACATCTCAATTTAACCTTTCCAGGCTCTGAAGAAGGCGAAACCGCCGAAACGTCAGCAATTGTGTTCTAATAAATTCTATATTAACAACCTCGTGTCTGCTTATTGATGAAAAACATTGAACTTGGTACAGTTAATAAATCTTCTTAAAAAGGAAAAATTACATTGAAACAATACTTAACCCTCTTGCAAAAAAGCTGCTATTAGAAAAAAGACGAAAATTTCCCAATCGCTAGAGTATTTCAGGAGTTGAGAACTCCTAACATTTATTGAGGAGTCTCTGTCGCAATAGTAGCACAAATAATTTTTATACCCATAACTTTTGTTCTTTAAATTTCAAATATGTTTGGAATGAAATCTGTCTTTGAGAAATTGGAAATCAAATCGTGTTTTCAAAACTTTGAACAGAAGAGCGGCGGTTGCGAACGTAAACGATGTATTCGATAACATCGAAGTGAAATTGTGTCATGTGCTCCAGCAAATCACAATTTCATCATAAAATAAATGACAAAGTTCTCGACTTTGACCAATCCTTGGTGGATGCGCCACGCATTTGACTTCATTAAGCATCGTTGGAGGCGACTGGATGCAAATCTGGCTTTTACAATGACTTGCGGTGGTTCACCGATGTATCGAGCTAATGCTGCTAACCTCCTGGACAAGTCTGGTACCAATTTGCCGAACCCGGAGAGACGGAGGGCTTGGTGAACCTGGAGCGCCGGGATCGATCTCATGTGTATTGCAGAGCGTCTCCGACCACTGAGCTACACGCGCCCCTTTCTAATAATATACAATTCCAGCATAGTAAAATAAAATAACTTGCGTCTTCTACGCAAAGATATGGTAGATTCTAATGATTTTCAATTTAACTGATAAAGTCTGATAATATATAAAGTGTATAATATCCTAACAGATACACAGGTTGGTTTAGATTGGTTAGTTTTACTTTTAAAGTGGTTTTATTTACAATAGCGATATAATTTGAGTGATAAAACGTTGAGTACTTCGAAGGAAACGAAATCTCCAATCAGATTACAACTGCATACCTTGAGCGCCTGCATCTGAGCATAAAGAAACGGCTGGGCTGCTATAAGCGTTGGTGGTAAGTTCGCATGTGGTCCAGCAATTGAACGACAAATTCGTGATGATTGCAATAAGTTGTAAAGGGTTTGGACTTCTGCACCCTCAAAAAATTAAGATATAGCCGAAGTCATTTCCGAGAAGAATTTGGACTCGTAGGCCTTTACAAGCAATGCTGAATACCCTAGAGCAATTAGCAAATCCATAAAACCACTTACTTTTATTAAGACACCAGCAACCTCATCAGCGCCCGGACTCGATTGCGAATCATCGTCGTTGAATTTGTACGTGGCCCCTAATGACTTGCTAGATACAATACCAAATTATTCATTAGGAAGAAAACAGTATTCAATCTCAGTAAGGTGGAAAGAAAATTTCACGAGAATGTGTGATTTTCTTCTGAATTTTACGGTTATGTAGAAACGAAATGAAAAAAAAAAGATGTAACCAACAAAACTATTTACCACATATACTCAATACACCCTTCGTTTAGAATTCTGGTGATTAGGAGAGCAGACAAATTTTCACACCACTTTCTAATTCTGCTTGATCATCAATGTTGTCCCGTATCTCGAGAATAAGAAAATGAGGATAATCACGAGTAGCAAAGCATGAAGGATACGCCTGACGAGGTGGTACATTCAACCCAACTTTTGAAATTATCTTACGAGTCGGAGGAGCCCTTCAATACACATGGTATCGATCCCGGCGATCCAGGATCACCAAGCACTTCATCCCCCCGGGGGTCGGCAAATTGGTACCCGAGTTGTCTGGAAGGATAGCAGCACTGGATCGATACATCGGTAGGCCACCGCGAGTGATTGTAAAGGCCAGATATACATTCAAACTTCCAACGATGCTTAATGAAGTCGAATGCATGGCGTATCCCTCATGGATTGACCAACGCCGAGAGCTCAGTCCTTTTTTCATTTTATGAGTCATTTTTATAACGAATATAACCAACACTATCGCGCAGAAACTTGTGATGCTTAGGACGATCTTTTCTAAATACTTGAGCAGAATAGCTTATCAACGAAAAACATACACCAGACTTCTGAAGTATTATAGACATCGGCAAACACAATCTCGTTCTAACAGTAGTTTACTTTCGCTCGAGCGGATTGTCGATTAGATTTCGTGATTTCTGGAGAACTCATACAGGTGGTTAAAACTGACGAACCAGCTGTGGTCCATTGTAATATTTTCTTTCACCGCCTTTTTGCTCACAAGAAGTGATTTGCAGACAGTAAAATGCTTTGTTGGAATCAACGAAGAATCCATTGCAGAAAATTTTAAGATAACAGCGTATAGCCGCAACTGTGTTTGATTCAACCTCGCAGAAAGACAAATACCGTTTCTTTGAAATTGTAGATAGTTTGATTAAGTACCGTAAAACACTGGAAAGGAAACTCTGTATAATAAAGAGTAGACGAAAATACACAACTTACTATCTTCTCAGCTTTGCTGTGTTACGCGGAGACATTCCGATATTTTCTAGCCATTCGTGGTCTCCCGATAAATCTGCTTTTTCTGGACTACAACTGGTAGGGATGTTATGAAAAAAAAAACAAGAAACTTCGAATACCGTGAGAGAAATCACCTTCCGTCTGAGTAGGTTTGACTAGCGATATTTTCCTTGTCTAGATTTGCTTGTGAACCATCCACCATTCCATTCCCTAAACAATGTTGAGTAAGTGAATAAAATCGGTGTACCGCTGTCGGTTTCCATCTAGTCAATTACCGAACGAAAACAAAGGCGGCTGGCTTTCAGTGACACAAACAGGATAAGAGCTGGATCTTGAATCTTCCCCGCGTTTTAACTTGAATGATGCGCTCGATTTATTGTTAAGTCGATCCTTCCGTCGAATATGTTCGTATTCAATGCCTAAAAAGTGTAAACTCAAAACCTATTTACAGATGATTTTTAGATCAGAAAAGAATCATTCTTTTCAACTTTTATTTTATTTGTTCCTTATTTTTTTTTCATGGCAGAATATGATGTGAAATATTAGGTTATTCAAAAATAAATGAACGTTTTAAAATGTTTATTGGTTTAATGCAATTTTTTTACCAATAAAATAGTCCTTGTTCCATGCAATAACGAATTGAACGGTAATAAAACAATTCCCGTTTTGAAGTGCCGTCTACGGAAGTCGACGGAATGCACCGTAAACTTCAACAACAAGGACCGGCATTAGTCAACAGAAAAGGACCAATCTTTCTCCACGACAACGCCAGGCCTCACGATGCGAAACTAGCGCCGTTGAAGGTGAACGAGGGCTACGAAACTTTGCCTCATCCACCATACTGAACCAGGCCTGTCGCTTACCCACTCTCACTTCTTCAAGCACCTTGACAATTTCCTGGGCGAGATATGCCTCACCAACCACGATGACGCAAAAGATGCCTTCAACGAATTCATCGCTTCCAAAGCTACAGAATTTTACGCGACTAGAATAAGCAAACTTGCTTCTCGCTGGCAAAAAGTGTAAATTCAAACGGTTTTTATTATGATTAACAAAGTTTTGTTTAAAGCAAGTTATAACATTTTGAACAATATAGTTAAAACGCCCTTTTCCAGAATAACCTAATACAAACACAATGATGCTGAGATATATACAAAACTTGAGATCGCAGGTGCGTGCAATGAGGATCAAACCCACTGTTTATTCATATTCCATATTTGCTTATTTATTTACTTTATATGTTTCATTTCTATATTTACTACTGATAGCACCTATAAGACAACACGGCTGAGAAAAAGGTGAAACAGAGGACCTGTGTGGTGTGGTGGTGAACATGCTATCCTCGAAAAGGGTAATAGCGGGTTCGACCCCTAACGCAGACACCTGCAGTTTGGGGTTTTGGATATACCTCAGAACGATTATTGTTTCCAATAGTAGACTATAGGACAAGTCATAAAAATAAGGTCCATCAAAATTCATACATCGAGAATACTCACCTGTATCTGAATCACTACAATCTAATCTCAATATATTAAAATGAACTATACAAAGTCTTATCTAAAACTAAGAAATTTAACTAATTCCTGACTATTTCGGTATCTAGACAATTTCTGACAAGTTTTCGACAAACCAAGTACTTCCAGAATTTGAAAATTTGAGAAATACACAGTGTAGACTCTACGGTATCGTTACACGGGTATTTATAACTTCTACAATTTTATCTAGAATCTCTCCTTACTTCATTACTTTCATTATTTTATTCCCCCTTAAAATTTCGGGACTGAATTAAAATTTCCTCTCCAGAAATCGAGAAATCCAAAATTTGAAAGAAAAAATTCGAAGTGCAATAGAAAAGCTTAAAGTTGTAGTGCACATTTCTAGCACAAACGTAGGAACTGAATTAATCACGGACATGGTGCTCCACAAAAGCGAAATTCCATCATTATGTAGCAAGTAGACTTCATGTTGCTGTTAAGTATGTATAGAACTCTATACACACAATATGTAGTGCGTATGTTCCGCGCATGCATAGCAAACAATGCATATAGTCGAGAACCTTGACAGAAATTGTTTATTGAATTCGTTCCTATCTTACAGTGAGTTCATCATTCGCTGAGGAACAGTTTCCGGTTGCTGACTGCTACAATGGTTGGTCAAAATAATAATGCCTCACTTGTGCGGAGGGTTGAACATGGTCTAGATTTGTAGAAAATTCACCATAACCTAATAAATTCAAAAGCATTACATTCTTATATTCAACACATATAAACGCTAATGTGCTAAAAGCATAGATACGCTATTCCCATAAAAGTTTGGCTGCCTAAAACCGGTAAACCATCGTCGAATTCCTTTCTTAAACCCCTTTGATCAGGGAATGTCTGACTGAGAAGGAAGATGTCATCATGTGAAGACTCACCACATAGATTCGCAACTATAGGATGGGTTCCTGGATAGGTACGGTAAGGCCAAGTTTCGCACTCTTTCTCATTCAACTTCTAAAATACCACTTTTGGAACAAGGTCTGCAGGCTTCGCACAACAAAACTAATCCTTCCGATTAATTCCCATCACAGACACCGGATTTCTTAGTATGATTTAAAACCTCCCAAACCGGCTATAAATTCTCGGAACCGTAAGCCATCAAAAGTTTCGGTCAAACAAAATTTTTCTGGTTATGAGAGACCAAATGGCGTCGTATTCACTGTTTTTCAAGAAAAACAGCAAGTAACATTCATATTTTTCGCCTTCATAGCAAGTGCATAAATCTTTTCTTTAGTCCAGGAAGAAGCAGTGGTTAGATATTGTGCAATACACGCACAAGCTCTGGTTAGACGCGTCGTCGAGCCTACAAAGCTCACTATATCCTATGAGTTTTCGAAATTGTCCAATAAAGGCCCTTACCCATGCACAAAGCCAGGTGTGATAAAGACTTGGGAACTCGCTCAAAAAAGTGTACCAGGATTCAAAAGAGGAATCGTCTCAACTAACACTCAACGACAGCCATGAAGAAGGTACACCATTCACCAACTGGTAACCGGATCAACACGTACGTCCGAAACCGAATGGAAGTAGTGCTAAGACCCACATAATATGTGTCTTCGAATCATATAATGGATAAGGGATTCGGCATTCATCAATCTGTTAGGAATGCGCTATGCATCTGATTCATTTAAACGCAGAGATGGTTAAATCCATGTTTGGATGATACAATGATTTGCGTGGAGATATCTTCGTATCAACTCAATGTTTTCATCTGCTCAGACAACTAAGTCTCAGCGAGATGAGTGCTTGGTTTGTCTGGAACAACCCTTTGTGTGCAACAGGGTACTCCAAAACTCTGCGCTACAGCCGCCGAATCGGATTATAAAAATGGAAAAGCATTTCCACCACCTGCTCGTTCAGTCGCGTTGGCAAAATGCGAGTAGGGTCCATTGTCAGCATATTCACGAAGTCGCGAAGTCAGCTATGAATGGAAAAGTATCACTACTACAGAACTACTGCATAAACGTACCAAGATAATTTACCATTACACGAAGCCAATGTAAACGGTCTCTGTAAATTGCGATAGAAAAGAACAAGGTTTGGTGAACCTTGAGCGCGGAGATCGATCCTGTGTGTATCGCAGGGCTCCTCCAGGTACTGCGCTACACGCGTAGCTAAATTGCGATCGAAAAACCTTTTCACGAAATGCTACTGCTGCAGCATCGGTTATAATAAAGTAACGAATTAGTAGTGATAAAAGTAGTAGTAATGCAGAAAAAGATTTGTATGGCAAAAAGAGTAATCAAAAAAACATACGCCGTTTATGTCCTATATTGTCCCTGGATGCAAAGTGCTTATGAATGGTATATGACTCGCGAAGGAGT